AATGATGAACTTATTCTCATATGTTGATTATATTTCTCACAGTTTTTTAAAATATTGAAATATGAACCTGCATATATGGGGAGCCTAAAACTAATGTTAAACAAATAAAAAATTACGTTTGAATAGTAATTGTTAATGTAATGATATATGATGTAAACAATAAATAAAACAAAAATTTGAGTTAGAAAAAAAACTTATTAATCTCACAAAACTAAAATATTATTAATCTCACACCTATTGAATAATATAGCAATCAATTGTTTCCGAGTAAAGAAGCCGAGACAACATTTTTGGAAGATATTATCGAAGTTTCAAATTGTTTGGTCAAAAGATTGAGAGAGCACAAATTTGTTTAAATAAAGGTGAAAGATTATAATTTTTGAAGATTTTGGTATGTAAACTAAATTTATCCAAACTAAAATGAAATTTACCATCTATTTAATATTCTAATATGAAAACATGTTTGAATTTAATTTTGAGAAATTTCAAAAAATGCCACTTTTCAAGTGCCACTTTACAAAAATACCACACTTTTAAAATCTTTACCAAAATGCCACTTTTTCAAAATTATTTTTTCTTTATATTATTTATGTTTGGGTTAATTATGTTCTATTAGAGTTTAATTTTAAGTGTTTAGGAGGTTTTAGGTGTCAAAACATTTTTTAGGGTTTAGAATTTTAAGATATAGGCTTTATAAATCTATAATTAGTGACATTTTTGTAAATGGACACACCTAAATGGCATTCTTGCAAATGTGCACACAAAAATAGCATTTTTGTAATTGTCCCTTGAATTTTTTGCATGAAAATCAAAATATTTGTAAACGTGAATATATGTAGCTTACTACTGAAAAGATTGATATGTGTTTGTTTTTTATAATCTAGTTGATAAATAAAAAAATATAAGAATTTTTCAAAGTAAGATTTGTTTAACACGTATCAAAATCTGATCGGTTGTTCGCCATGTTAGGATCCTGTTAATTACAACGTTTGACATGTCATGGC